TTTACACAGACGCTTTTACACCGCAGACGCTTTTACACACAGACGCTTTTACACCGCAGACGCTTTTACATACAGACGCGTTTACACACAGACGCTTATACACACAGACGCTTTTACACCGCAGACCCTTTTACACAGACGCGTTTACACACAAACACTTTTACACACAGACGCTTTTACACACAGACGGTTTTACACACAGACGCTTTGACACACAGATGCTTTTACACACAGAAGAAATTACAATTTTACTTCAATTTTTGGCGGCGATCGAACTGCATTTCGTGCGAAAAGGTTGCGCGGGACCCCTTGAAATCGCAATTTTATCTCAGTTTTTGGCGATCGAACCTCATTTCGTGCGAAAGGGTTGCGCGGGACCCCTTGAAAGGCATGGTACTCGCTTGTGCACCTGAGAATCGTCTCGCTTGTGCACCTGAAAATCATCTCGCTTATGCACCTGAGAATCTTCCACTTCTACCTCTACTTGCACCTCTCATTCTACTTCCACTTCTACCTTCAGCTCTATTCCTACTTCTCCTTCTACATATTTTCCACATCTATTTCTACTTCTCCTTCTACTTCCACTTCTACTTCTACGTCCACTTCTACATCTACTTTCACCTTTATTTCTACTTCCACTTCTACTTTCAGCTCTACTTCTACTTCTACATCTATTTCTACTTCTCTTTCTAATTCTACATCCACTTCTACTCCTACATTTACTTCTACTTCCACTTCTACTTCCACTTGTACTTCTACTTCTACTCCTACATCTACTTCTACTTACAATTCCACTTCTACTCCTACATCTACTTCTACTTCTACTTCTACTTGTACTCCTACATCTACTTCTACTTCTACTACTGCTTCTACTTCTACTTCTACTACTGCTTCCACTTCCACTTCCACTTCTACTTCTACTTCTACTTCTACTTCTACTTACATTCCCACTTCTACTCCTACATATACTTCTACTTCCAGTTCTACGTCTACTGCTACTCCTACATCTACTTCTACTTCTACTTCTACTACTGCTTCTACGTCTACTTCTACTTCTAATTTTACTTCTATTTCCACTTCTAGTTCTACTTCTACTACTGCTTCCACTTCTACTTCTTCTTCTACTTCTACTTCTAATTCTGAAGATATAAATGTGTTGTGCCTCTTCTTACATCAATTGCAACAGGATATAAACCCTAAAGGTGTCGTGGCTCTTCTTACATCAAGTGCAACAAGATATAAACCCTAAAGGTGTCGTGGCTCTTCTTACATCAAGTGCAACAAGGTATAAACCCTAAAGGTGTCGTGGCTCTTCTTACATCAAGTGCAACAAGATATAAACCCTAAAGGTGTCGTGGCTCTTCTTACATCAAGTACAACCAGATATAAACCCAAAGGTGTCGTGGCTCTCCTTACATCAAGTGCAACAAGATATAAACCCTAAAGGTGTCGTGGCTCTTCTTACATCAAGTGCAACAAGATATAAACCCTAAAGGTGTCGTGGCTCTCCTTCCATTAAGCGCAACAAGATATAAACCCTAAAGGTGTCGTGGCTCTTCTTACATCAAGTGCAACAAGATATAAACCCTAAAGGTGTCGTGGCTCTCCTTACATCAAGTGCAACAAGATATAAACCCTAAAGGTGTCGTGGCTCTTCTTACATCAAGTGCAACAAGATATAAACCCTAAAGGTGTCGTGGCTCTTCTTACATCAAGTGCAACAAGAGATAAACCCTAAAGGTGTCGTGGCTCTTCTTACATCAACTGCAACAAGATATAAACCCTAAAGGTGTCGTGGCTCTCCTTCCTTTAAGTGCAACAAGATATAAACCCTAAAGGTGTCGTGGCTCTTCTTACATCAAGTGCAACAAGATACAAACCCTAAAGGTGTCGTGGCTCTCCTTACATTAAGTGCAACAAGATACAAACCCTAAAGGTGTCGTGGCTCTTCTTACAAGATATCAAATTCAGCAACATATAAACCCTAAAGGTGTCGTGGCTCTTCTTACATCAAGTGCAACAAGGTATAAACCCTAAAGGTGTCGTGGCTCTTCTTACATCAAGTGCAACAAGAGATAAACCCTAAAGGTGTCGTGGCTCTTCTTACATCAAGTGAGACAAGATATAAACCCTAAAGGTGTTGTGGCTCTTCTTACATCAAGTGCAACAATATAAACCCTAAAGGTGTCGTGGCTCTCCTTACATTTAAGTGCAACAAGATATAAACCCTAAAGGTGTCGTGGCTCTTTATTTGCAATGCGTGATAGTGTAATTTCCTTGTAATTTACGTATAAAATGCAACAAGATATAAACCCTAGAGGTGTCGTGACTCTTTGTTTGCAACGCGTGATGGCGTAATTTCCTGGTCATTTACGTATAAAATGCAACAAGATATAAACCCTAAAGGTGTCGTGGCTCTTTGTTTGCAACGCGTGATAGCGTAATTTCCTGGTAATTTACGTACAAAATGCAACAAGATAAAGACCCTAAAGGTTTCGTGGCGCTTTGGTTGCAATGCGTGATAGCGTAAGTTCCTGGTAATTTACGTATAAAATGGAGACCCAGGTGCGTAAGTAAGTGATTTTCTAGGTGCGCAAGTGAGTGCATTTCCCAGGTGCGTAAGTGAGTGAATTTCTAGGTGCGCAAGTGAGTGTAGTGCCCTCTTGAAATCGTAATTTTACTTCAGTTTTTGGCGATCGAACCTCATTTCGTGCGAAAGGGTTGCGCCGGACAAGTTGAAATCGCAATTTTACTTCAGTTTTTGGCGATCGAACCTCATTTCGTGCGAAAGGGTTGCGTTTCGTGCCGTCTCGTTGGCACTGCCCCTGCCCCCGCCTTCAAGAGATAAATAGAAAAGAAGGAGAAGGCAAGAGGGCAAGAGGGCAAGAGGTCAAGAGGGCAAGAGGAGAAGATGTGAGATGAGAAGATGTGAAGATGAGAAGATGTGAAGATGAGAAGATGTGAAGATGAGAAGATGTGAAGATGAGCAGATGAGAAGATGAGAAGATGTGAAGATCAGAAGATGAGAAGATCTGAGGATGAGAAGATGTGAAGATGAGAAGATGTGAAGATGAGAAGATGTGAAGATGAGAAGATGTGAAGATGAGAAGATGTGAAGATGAGCAGATGTGAAGATGAGCAGATGTGAAGATGAGAAGATGTGAACATGAGCAGATGAGAAGATCTGAAGGTGAGAAGATGTGAAGGTGAGAAGATGTGAAGGTGAGAAGATGTGAAGATAAGATGTGAAGATGAGAAGATGTGAAGATGAGAAGATGTGAAGATGTGAGGATGAGAAGATGAGAAGATGTGAAGATGAGATTTGCAGATGAGAAGATGTGAAGATGAGAAGATGTTTTACAGACCCCCACTATTGGAAGAACCCTGCGCTCAGACGCTCTCGGGAAAAAATCAAATCAGTGGAACACAAGCCCTTGGCCAGGTCTGGCGTCAAATGAAGCGCTACGTTCCTTTTTCTCTGTCTACCAAAGACAAAAGACCAAAAGAAATAATTATGAATGGTCTATTGACTATCGTTGGAACAACAAGCAGGACTTGAAAGGAAGTCTGGCCAAATTGGCAGCCAAGGCAAACCGACGCAAACGATGAGGCTAGAAAATGAGGCCGCAAAAAGCACTGGGAAACAAATGTTCGAAATCCAACTTTGGCAAATACTTCGACCCATGTCATTCAATGATGAATAACAAATTTCCTATTGCAACCTGGGACAAAATAACCGTTCCCATTTCAAGAGAGACAAAGGAAATCGCGACGCCACCACAGTTTTACACAAATCCATGCAAAATGGCACAAATAGAAAACGTAAAAAATAAAAACAGTGGGGCCGCAATTGGCGCCGGAACCTAATTTGTGCATGATGGGGTGACAAGGTAAGATACATGACAAGCCATTTGAGCACGTGATTTTCGTGATTCTTTCAGGTGCGGTGTGTTCCCTTGAATTGTGTGTGTTTTGTGCAATTTCATAGTTTTTTGTGATCCCGGGTTTAAAATGAAGCGCGCTGAACGAAGCGCAATGGCTGCATTTGAGCTCTGTGCTTGGGTTCGGAAATAAATGGAAACGGCTGCGCCAAAGGTGTTTCTAGCTGCTAGCTATTGTTGCCTGGGAAATGTCGTTTTGTTGGAGGATGGGGTGGTTTGATGGATTTTTTCTCGCGGACGCCTTGTACTTACATGTCCTTGTACTTACATGTCTTTTGTTGGTGAACACAGCCACAAATACAAACATATTACAAACACTGCAAACAGATTCCCCTACGAATTTAAGCTACATAGTTTGTGGCCACAAGCACTATACAGAGGCTTCCATTTTAGTCAGGCTAACCCTGAGATGAAATCCAGGTCCAAGATTTTGTAGGTTAAATTGGTTAAACTTGTGAATCTCATTTTATAAAGGAGTCATTTTTATCATGTTAGCCCATCATGAAAATCGCAGTGGCATTTTGTAGCATGACATGATGAGCTTCATGCTGGCTTATCAAATCAAACGAAAATTTTGTAGCAAAATAATACGGTCCAAATCTTAGTTTTGAAAAAAAAAACGGAGGCATGATGATGCATGATCTGTATTGATCTGTGATGAATAATGAACGATGATGCTTGATGGATATTGATGGATATCGTTGAAAACAACGTTGCATTTTGTAGCAAAGATGTTCCTTTGCATGTGCAGTCCTTGAAAATGAAAGGGTATGTCCTTGTAGGATGCAATTGTTGAAAACGAAGGGGCATTTTGTAACAAGGGAAAACCTCCCCCTATGTCAAGGTTGTTGAAACGAAGGGGCATTTTGTAGCTAAGGCTATGTTGGGGAAAAATGGAGCTCAGCAACCTCATTCTATAGCCCCAAGTTTGTGAATCTTTTTTATAACATACAGACCAGGGGTCACAACGTCTCACCTGAAATTCGATGGGGGATGCAAACAGATTTTTGTTCAAGTCAGTTGGATCACATTAGGTCCAACGACGGGCTCAGGTTCTGGAACGGTGGTGGGCAAGTGCTTCCAAGGATCCGTCAGACTCGTCATGAAACACATGTGAACACCGATGAGGTTAAGTGACTTCAAGATTCAGCAGAGCTAGGCATGAAGACAGCACGATTTCGAACGGGATCATACATCAATTCCAAACATATCTGAACATGTTTTTTTCCATTTTTCCACTTTATCCACTTTGAATTTGTATATAAGGCCTTTTTGCGGTTGGAATGGGTTTGTGATCTGCGGATGTGCAAAAAATATATGTTTTCCTCGCATCTAGACCTTGTAAGTGAACCGGCCTTGGCAAAGCAGAAGCTGTTGCCGATTGGAATTGTGAAGACAGGGCATCACTGCAAACACCCAGATGCCATCCCAACAGAAACAGCTTTGCTGAAATATGGAATTCTTTCAAGATAATATGCACCACCGGAGCCCCCATGACCAGGACACTATTGGTTTGCCCCTGTCTGCCGGGCCAACCCTATGACTTGCTATCCATTCATTACAGCAGGCAGTGATGGGTCAGCAACTGTTCTTTTTAGAGAAACTATTAGGAACTCCCTCCGGATGGAGATGTATAACCCGGAAGACCTTTTCCATTTGAGTTTCACATCCGCGTGTTTTCTGGGATTCTTTCCTCCCAGGGTTTATTCAAGATTGAAAGATCATCAGATTGCAAAACTCCAGGGTCCAATCTGACTCCCAAGCCTCAACTCACACTCTACATGCAACTTGTTCGACCGTTGTGCTGAATCGGTCCAGTTTTATCTAGTTCCAGGGTGATGAAATGTGGCAGACAGGTCCCGGCTACGGCTATGAGCATTACATGCAAAAGGCCGCAGTGTTCAACATGCCAACGGTGACTCGGATCAACCCGGACTATCTAGGACTCATTTTGGGCTATATTGGTTTTGCTGGCGTTTCTCCGGTACCAGTGAGTATTGTTGATTTTGCTTTGTTGTTTGTTTTTGGTTAATATTGGTTGGTTCACAGGTAGGCTTGTGAGGATTGGTGATTGGTAGGTGAGTTGACTGGTTCGCAAGAGACCTTCCATCGTCGATGGTGCCCACTCATGATGACGTGTGACGACCACCACAGTTGACGGGTGGGCACGTTCTTTTTTTATTCCGGCCAATCGACGGCTGAGTTGCTGGCCTCATCTACCGGCTGATCAATATTGATTCACTGTTTCGGTTGTTCCCGTTGTTCTCCAGGGCCTGTGGCGACTACCAGCATTTCCATCACTGATGGAAACTCTAAGGTGATGGTGGTGGCCAAGCTTTGGAGTGATTATACAACATTACCCATCCAGGCAAGATGGAGAGATGATGAGATATGGAGAGATGGAGATTGGAAAGGGTGGTAGCTGCAGAGCAAGGAATATTTGTTGATATTGTTTGATCATATTTGTGGATTGCCAGGACCTCCTCACCATGAAAATTGTAAGCCCGGGGTCGCAGGGGACACCCAAAGCAGTGACGCAGTACTCAGCACGAAAGCGAATGGAAACGGATCAGAATTGAAATAACTAGGTACAGTCAGGTAGTCAGTAGACATGGCACGCGGAACTGCAGGGATCACAAGGGTAGAGTCAAGCCGGTGCGTGCCTAGCCACCGCTCCGGTGAACTATTTCTATCACACAACTTCGAAGTCAGACGAAGGACGGCCTTCGCTGCCTTTTGAAGACTTCTGCAACTGCACCCGTTGTTACAATTTTCTTACAACTGTTCTTGTGTTGAGAAGTGCTGAAACATGCTGAAAAATGATTCCTGAGGCTTGCGGTGAAACAAGTTCAAGCGAATGTTATGACCAGCGCGCCCCCCAAAAATGGCTAATGAGGGGACAAGAAATCCCACAGCCATCCGAAACTCCTGGGCCTACTTGAGGCACCATCGTCAACCTCTTTCATCCTCTTTCATTTGTGTACAATGCACAGGAACTCTAATTTTTGGACCCTGAATATTAGCAGATGTTTGTCACATCATGTCACCTCCACTTTCCTCATCTGCTCTGGTGTGTCCAGGTCAAGTCATCTTTTTATTGGTGGAATCCTGACCCCACCTTTCTGTCGCGCCTTGGCGTTCAATAAAACCGGCTACACATATTGCACACGTGTCAGGTCTTGCACAAGTGGAAGTTCAAAAGCAAAATTATGAAAAGAGATAAAGATGATAAAGTTTCATAGAAAGTCATGTAGAAATTGGAATATCAAGGTACATTGAATTACACTTATGATTCCCTCATTTTTTGTGCGGTGCTTGCTGCATCACATTGCAGGCTGGACGCGCATAGAGTGGTTTACCCGGACTTTGATTCTTCAGCCCATCGCGCAGGAGACTCGGCATGACTCGGCTGGACCAGTTGCAGTCATCAGCTGACCATTTTTTCACATGCGGTCCACCTTGCTATTGCTGTTAAGCACCGTCTCTTTTTGTGGCAAAAACATGCACAAGCACCATCAAGCACCCATATTTTGGAAGCACAGGGCTATTCAGCTTAATATGCATATCACTGACATTCCAGCATGGTGTCTTTGCATGTTGTGGATCCCTTCGATATTTAACTGATAGTACGACAGTTCCAGCTTCGCAATGTTTGAGTCTAATCTAGGCCTCTTTAAGGTTGAGGACTCTTGTAGCGGCCATCTAAAGTGAAGCAATTTGCACTGGTACAATGTACCAGGGCTCATTATCGCATGGGTGCAAGTGTGTTGGGACAAGCAACTGTGATTGCTTGAAGACTCTTGGGGTCTCTGGTCACTCATCAGAGCGCTGTTCCAATGCTATAATTTGACATACACAATGCTGTTGCTGACATTATCTGAACGAGACTTTGCGATGCATTGAAGATTCCTTTTTTGTGATGGTGATGCCAATGTTATCCACACGGAGGCATGCAATTTTGGTGCCCAAGGAATCTTGACGACCGATTTCGAAGCCGTGAGAATCGACAAGTATGCAAGTGCCGACTTGAAGGTGGGGCCAAGCTTGCCATGATAATTGCGACACGTTGACACGGGATCAATGGCATAATTTTATATAATTTGTGTGTGCAGACTGTAGCTTGAGCAGGAAACAATGCAATTTTGCAGCCATGTTGCCATGTCTTTTGCGATCATTGAATTGAAAGGGTACGACATGTTTCAGCATTTTTCACTCTGCATAGCTGTTGTTAGACATGTTTGGCTGTGTTCCAGCCACTCTAATGTAACCATTCAAATTGATGCACACGATGATTTTTGCAAAAGTTCGGCAGCTGGGATCACAGACAATCAATGGTTGATACCTGGGATGTTAAATCACCTGCAGACTGCCACATAAACGCCCCATATCAGTTTGCTTTCGAAATCAAAAGGTCCAGGACCATCCAGAACCATCCAGAACCATCAAAGTGCATAAGCCAACCGGGATCCTAAGGACCTGGCCCCTGAAGTGTACGAAGTGTTGAGCGAATTTAACATGGACTTGAAGGTGTCTTGGAGTTGATGAGACTCACATGGGTATCGGCATGGGTCAAAACTTGAGACACCGGGAACTAAATGTTTGTACATTGTCTGTAGTAACCCCTTACTCTTCAATCCCTGCATGTTCTGTGGCTCGCGATGGGTGTCGGATTCGGAGAAGTTCTTAGATGGTGCTCCGCTTTTCGCCTCTTCATGCGTGCTGTTTTCCACAGCTTCAGATCGAACCCTGAGGTCATCAGTTTGCCATGCCCACAAGACCTAGACCTGGCAAATTTTGCCTTTGGATAAACCTTAGATCGATGTCATGAATCTGCTATCGCTTCCATCGGTGGCTATTAGGCTATTCAGCCTACCTTCGGAGCTTCGTCAGGAAAGCCTTTTGACGCCCTCGAAAACTGTCAAAGAACTGGCGAGGTGGAAGAACAGTCAAAGACTAGCTCGCTGCAAGCATTCCGCAGAACGGAGAATGCCCCTCACTCTCGAAAACCAAGGGGCATGTAGAAAAGATGCCACCGCAGTTTGAATTCTACGGAATGAGAGGTTTGGTTGGACACGTTCCATCCGACAGAACATTTGCATTGCTGGAAGTGGACACCGACTGAGCAACAATGCCCCCAGAAACTGCCTGTCGACCCACCACATTCAGGTTTTGGCTTGCCTTTGGTCGCTGAGCCATGCGAATATTATGCCTTTTCTGAGCGGCCAAGTGACGAAATTATGCTGGGTTAGGCAGCAGTTTTGTTCAAAGCATCCATTGTGCATAAAGATAATTTGGTGTATTTCAGTGTTGTTTTTCATTAAAAGTGGTATTTGGGCGATTCCTGGAGAATGCGGTGCAAAGCAAAACGCCCCAATCATGCGATCAAGCAGGGCCCATAGACTGTTACTGGCTGCTCAATTGAGGCCGTCAACAAGCTAATGGGAGATCTAGCAGATACAGGCCAGGCGGCAAGGCGCCAGTTTCAAGTTGAAACTGGAGGGTCTTTGTTTAAGTTTCTTTTACCCGAAGGATAAAATGCCGATCATGTTCAATGCCCCAGATGACACCTGTCAAGTCAGTCAAACCATTCAAAAGACTGCTGCAGCCCAAAAAGTCGCACAGAGTTATTCAGGGCTGCTAGTGGTGTGATTCTGCCATATATATATGTTATTTGCATCACTACAACATACTTACACAAACAAAACTAAACACGCGGATCGCTCTGGTGAAGCAAACATTGAATTGAAGAGCTCTTCACCAAATAATACCATTGAATTTTTTGAATCCTGAAGCAGAAGGCTGACCGCATCGTGCCCAATGTTTAAAAGGAAAAACACGAAACCGAAGGTACTCATTGGTCCACCGGATCTCTACCAATGGTACCAATGGTAGCCCAATCCGGATCCCTTGCATCCCTTCAGGTGATGCACCCGAAGTGGTCGCTTGCCGATGGCTGCAGGCAAACAAGGACGGATGGCCAAATTTGATCCATGTTGCGGTACTCGGGCCTCAGGAACGTGCAGTTGTTGTTTCTATTTTTTCTATTTGCGGTTGTGGAAAAACAATAATATATATAGATATACCTATGCAGAACGCAGTTACTTACTTACCTCTTCGTCTGTCTATTTTACGCTCATGAACAATACAATGTTATAGTATATTTTCTTGATTTACTTGCACCTATATGTGTAATTTGTCGAAAACTCCGTGAGATTCAACATGTGTAATCCTGCATCAGGGGAGGCTTCACAGGAATGTCAGTCTTCTCGTTCAGTCGCACTGGAAATCCCTGACCTCTTTGACTTGTCCGCACGCAGGGAAGCATAATAAGATAAGATGTTTGGTTTCTTTTGCGCTTTTTGTGCTTCACATCCGGACAGGACCATTGGGAGAGTTGGCTGCCTGACAAAACGAAGCTTGGACTGAGCCGTGGAGGACATTCCAAGCCATCAATAGGTAAGTGATATCAAGCAATAAGATCTAATAAGTACTATACCGAACCAGAATGAACCGGCCCATCTATTTTTCCAAAACAACAGTGTTCCAAGCTGCGAAGATGCCAGCGGTGCCACCAAGCCAACTGAATCAAGTGATAAATCTTGGCTTGCGTGATGTTCAACCATTTCTGTGCGTTTCCATGAGCGAATGCAATCCATTGTGTGGAAGAATGCAGAAAGTGTTCGTTCGGCCTGATATTGCAGAGACCACATAGTCATGGAACACAACGAGAAGAGAGCAGTTGTCATTATCCATCGGAAACTTGGCAACATTGACCAAATTTTCTGTCCCGCCGTTGCATTGCAACAAAACATTAAGTTCGGCGCCGGTTTCCTGTTGTACCCCAGTACCGGTAATGTAGATGGAACATGTAAAAAGTATGTCATGCAACTTGAAACACAATTTGTCATGCATATTTTAATGTCTTCTCAACACCTACTGTATAATTAGTAGCCTAAACTTTTTATTCTGTTTTACAATCTGAGTCCCAGCTGAGCCCCTTGGCGGGTTGGGTACTGGACCAGTTCAGCTGGTGCTGCATATCTTAAAGGTTTATTCTATCACATGGCTGGTGTCCAGCACACCTTATCTGTCACCTCAACTCTTGATCAATCACTATTCTATGGAACATTCTGTCACATCACATAGTTTTGCAACATATGCCGTAAAGATGCTGCAGTTATTTATGTCTGAACATGCTCGCTGGGTGGTTGCCGCTGTTTACTCGTTCCGTCTCCGCCCGGAAATGCCTATGTTAGAGTGGATGTCACCACCACGTCTTGAGCCCAGGGAATGCTTTCCGCACTTTGGTCTCTACAATGAGCTGACGGGACAGTTTCTTGGATGAATTCATTGGAAGAAAGCCATGGGCACCGGCCAATTAGACGTTGGAGGTTTTAAACGGTCAGAGGCCTGCCTCCAAAAAGCCTAGGACAAGATGATGAGTTTATATAAGGTGATGCAACAAGCAGTTAATTTCATGTGTTTGGCCATGTGTTTGCTGAGGTTTGTTCAAGACAGGTCAGATCCCACCCGCTTGCCGCTCGGACAAAGGGCTGGAGCTTGTTATATGATCATATTATGATCATATTATGATTTGATATGATTTGCGCTTTCGAGGAAGACAACCCATTTTGAAACGCCAGCACGTCGAGCACAGCGCTCAAGGCAGCAGTCACACGATGTCACATGCCAAAGCTTCAAGCCTCTTCTGGGCACAGGGACCAATCAGACAGTTGGTTCGGACCCTCCAACATGAATCTGGTTCAACAGATTTTTGGCAACTTGAATAGAGTCTAGTTCATCCGTCAACAAGATCGACTGATCATTTTGGGAGATTGAGGACTTGCCGCGTTTGCGATTCCGGTTCCTATTCAAGTCGTCTCAAGGATGATGCTGGTGTTACGTACGCGGCTCGGCATAAATCCCAGGCGAACTTCGACGTCTTTGAATTGTCTACCAGTTTCTTCAATCTTAAATTGTCTCTCCAGTAAAAGCAGTAGAGGCTTCAGTTGTTCTCTACCTTGTAACAAGTACTGGGTTCATGTCGTTTCTTGTCTCGTCTCCCCTGAAGTTGTCTCAGGTCGGTGTGCCGTGGGGAAGCGTGTATAAAACATATATATGACATTATTATTCCATTGGGTCATTGCCTATTGTAAGACCACAAAACGCATAGGCGCGCTGAATTTCACCAACATGAACCTTCCATTTGTAGTCATTAACCTTCTTATGGTTTGTTTGTCCATTGCAGGGCACACAACGCAGGGATACACTGGTTGTCATAAACATGTTTGTTTATTCCTTGGTTTGATACTTGTGGCATCCAAACGCAGTGGCATGCTCGGTCAAAGAGAATATGTGGCACTGGGTATTTCAATGGTTTTGTGCAGCACAACAGATCTTGTGCCAACATTGGTGTGCCTGCCATTTGGTGCTAGTGGGTTCATTTGGGAGCTGGGTCGATGTTGTAACAAGTGCCGATGACAAGATCTTGTGCCAAATCGTGGTGTGCCTATGGGGAAAGGCCCACATCGGGAGCGCCTATGATTTTAACCTACTGATGTATTTTTTGGCACTTCGCATAGGCACACGATGCTTGCCTGTCATATCTTTTGTGGGTTTACCCACTATACTCCCAAAGGTGAAAGTCGTGGCAATGTATACTTTTCCTGGATTTAGGTTGGCAAACACATTTTAGGAAGTCGTTGCAGTCGTGGCGTTTAGGTGGTGATTTGTGAGTTTTGAAATTGGTAACACGTTTAATACGGAAAGAATGTGTTTAAGTTGTGTTTTGCTTTCGTTTGGGGCTCAAATATAGACAATCGAACATAGGTCATGCCGACCCTGCCCCATGCCTGGTGGTTCCTCTGCCCATGGCTTTGCTTTCTCTTCCCCAGACAGTTTTAGCCTTTAGATATCTTTGGCTATCACGGTTCCTACGTCTCAAACAGTCTGTGCCCGCTCAAATTTGTCACCGCCGCCTTGTTTGCCAAGCTTGCGTCCCTTTGTCTCCCCTCTGTTTCCCTTACTCGCCCTTTGTCTCCTCTTCTGTCTCTTAGCTCTTGCCTGCAGCTGCTGCTTGGCTTGGGTTCCTCTTCTGCTCCACCGCTGAAAGCTCTTGAGTTTTACTGTTCTGAAAAGAATGCGAAAGCGTGTGGCTACCAAAGAGTCTGTCAGGAGACTTAGGGGGTCAGTCTCCCAAAATTTGATTTCGGACCTCGTTCGGACCTCGTTCGCACCTCGTTAAAATTGCAGCCCGTCAAAACCCAACCCGGAGAGGTTTTGGAAAGGCTTTGCAATGGTCTGCTGCTTGGTCTGCTGCTGCTGCTGCTGCTGCTGTTGTTGTTGCTTGTGCTGCTGCTTCTGAATTAGTCCACTTTGACCGTCGGTGTGCCAATAGGATTTCCACCTGGCGGAAGATTATTGATGTTTGGCGTAAGCGGTGTGCCATGCGGCTGGCGCAAGTCTAGTAAATGGCGTAGGATCACGCCAGGGCTCGGGTCAGGGATGCTTTGCACGATTTATTTGGCACTAGGTGTGCCATTGGGAAACAGATAACTAAACTACCGACATCAAACGACTCCATGTCCATAGACATGACAAGGAAACGGGGCGTGTGCAGAATTGGTTACTTTTCTCATTTGGATAGAAGGCGGCTGTTTTGCTGTCAATGCGTGTGTGCCAATGGCGGTTGCTTACTTTCGACATGGTTTTATTACCAAAGGAGATGGCATTAAATATGTGGTTCGCAATGGCAGCACTTTAAATATTTTGTTTGCCAAACCAACGATGGTGTGGCACCAGTGTGCGAATAGGATTTGGTTCCTGGGGCAACTTCCGTTTGGCCTGGGGTAACCCTGTGTGCCATTGGGATGGGGTAACTTCGGTGTGCCTGGGGTAAGAAACAACGTCCGCCCAGTAGGCCAGATACAAGCGGAGGATCTGAAAACTCTGTCGGCGCACAGGTTTTTAGATGTTCTTTGGGGTGAAAATGTCAATGGATGGCTGACATGGGGTTTTGTTGTTTGTTGCTGGACACTGCAACCTACCGACTTGGAGGCTACAGGTTCACTAAAGTGAGCCATGCCAGTGTCCTGGCAGGTCCTGACATGAGTTTAGGTATTTAGACTCCAATAGACTGCATCATGACATGAAGTTGAGATCATTTGCCTTACATCCCGATAGTTTCCTTTTTTTTGAACCTGTTTGTGAGTACACAGTGTTGTTCATGGTATTGGGCGTGATGAAAATGGAACCGTGTCATGGTCAGCAATGTTTTGTGGAAATCCAGCTGCTTTGCCGCCATCTACCTACAGGTGTGCAAGCCTTGTGCACCTGGAAGCGCGCAGCCCTCTGGTGCCGCCTTGAAATGCGAACCCTGCCCGTCCCTCGCCGGTTCTTTGGGGTTGTGACTTGCGAGCCACGGAATCTTCGAAGGCCGAATTTTCGAGAGCAAAATATTGGAAAAAAATGATCCAATCCACGAACCCACATTCACATCACATTCACATCACATTAAGCACTTTTGCAAGACAGTTTATTACAACTGTCTTGCATTTTCTTCCATTGTCACTGGCCATTTTAGACGGGCAGGATGTTTTTTTTGACCTTGGCCCCTTTTTTTGAATTTGTACATGTTTTTTAGACCTGGCCATGGCCACCAACGTATCAAACATAGCAAAGCAGCAGAAGGATAAGAATCACAAAGGGAGGTTGTAATACTTCATAGGGACTTTGTGTTCATTCCAGATATCCAATCAATGTTTAGATTGATCCTGTCTTGTGTCCAAGGACCGGGGAGTATCAAGACAAGAATGGGAGCACAAGCTGCAAACGCTGCGGCCAAGGCAAGTACCAAGACACTCAGCTGATCATTAAATCGTCACTGTTCTCAGGTTTTTTTACCCGGGAGTGTCCAAAGTTTTGTACTACAGTACTAGTATAGGTTCTCATTCTGTACACAGTTGACCTTCGTTAAGTGGGGAAAAGAGGGAAATTGATGCCATTGTTGAAGAAGAATGCCAAGACGGTTGCCTTTCTTGGCCATTATTGCAAATCCAGTCCCATCCTGCGCACACCTACCATCAGTGTGTCTCCACATACGCTTCCCACGCAGTGCTCCAACTCAGGATGCGAAAGGACAAACCCAATGCAAGGACAGGGGTTCGTCCAGCACTGTGCATCAAAATCGTTTATTTGATGATGCAAGGCCATGCGAAGCCTGGATGATGCATTTTGAAGCAACAAACGATGACATCAAGGGTTCGTATCAGTTCATATCTATTGTATATTTAGATCAAGTTCATAGAATCTATAGTTTGGTGTGGGCACATACTGCCAACTTCCAAGTCCTATTTTCCATCTTTAAAATCTCTGTGAATGAATATTGGATGAATTGCACATATATATATATATTTGTCTGCTGGGGACGACCTTCCGATCATTTGTGGATTCCAATCACTGCTTGATCCTGATTCTCCCGGGGGAAAACTGTTGAAACAGTTTAGGAGTTGACACCCGCAGGAGTGCCCTGCAGCCACAACAACGCTGGGATTGGGATCTGCATCCGTAACTTAGCTAAGACGATGCTCCATACATCGGCTTCAACTTTGACACTGAAAATCTGCCGACAAAAATATTTTGCCATGTGGCCTCCAAACACAGAACGTCAAGACAACTAACAGGTACTGTTTGTGGCTGTGGAAATTGTACTCGGTCTCCATCTCTCAACAGCATAACGTGATAAGAGATGGACATCTTTGACAACTCCAAATGCCATTCTCACTCCGCCAAGGTCTTCGAGTGTGGATGTGAGCCTCAGCTGAAAAACTGAAGCAGGGAATTCCCATCAACATCCGTCAACATCCGTCAACATCCGTCAACGATCATGCCGAAAGCTGACCTTCTCCGTGTCTCTTGACTTTCAGCCTTTCAGCTGTGCGTTTGTCCAAGCTTGTCCAAGCTTGTCCGAGGAACCTGGAAGAATCAACATCGCCAACGAAACTGATCTGCCAGAGTGTACACCATGCGGTGAAGGTGCCATGGAATAGGCCAAAGGATCTGGCTTCGCCTTTTCCAAAATCCATCGAATTGGCAAAATTAGCCTGTAGATTCCCTTTTTGAAGTGCATTCCATGTCTTGTCAGATGCACTTCTTTCTCGTTCAGTGCCCATTTTTGCAAACTTGGTTCAGATCAGTTGACAAATGCATATGTACCCTGCAGAAAACATATGACTGCCATTCAGGCCTGTCATGTCCATTCTCTTCATCTCTGGAGACATTGAAGCCGCATGCCGCAGAAAGTTACGATGAGTTTTTTCCTTGGTGCGGTGAAAGTGTCAGCAATGTCAAGAACATGGCAGATGATTCCTTGCGTAAAAGGATATCTCAGCCCGGATTCTAGAGTCTACCCCAGCAGCACATGAAGAATGAAAATATAGCGAGCAAGTTCCCATCAAAGCAAGTTTCAAGCATGCAGCATATCTTAGGTTTAGTATGGTCTAGTTTGCTCGATTAATTCATCATTACCCTTTGCTTCTGTGAGGTTGGGTACGGCACCGTTGGGTGAACAGTACCAACCAGCTTTGCGGAGAGGCGAGCGGATGTCCCAGGTGAAAGGTGTGGCAATTGTGGCGCCATCTGACTTCGTGTGCCGAGTCTTCGGACTCTTCGGATTCTTCGGATTTGAATTCTGTTGCAAGTTCAGATTCAAAGACCAAAGATTCCTACATTTCAATCTCGCCAGTTCCACTTCGCGTTGTGGCGTTCCGCTCTTCAGATCAGCAACCCTTGCAAAAAGTTCGTTGCTGTATACGAACAATTGGAATTGCATTTCATTGTCCGACTTTTTACAGTGGCAAAAAGTAGATATTTGTATCAGGAAGTTCTACATTCGTGATATCAAGATGAACACACTTTGTAAAGTAAGGAGCTGTGAAGGAAAGAGCTTATCAATTGAAAAGCTATTACTAGAAAGAGTACGGATTGAATGGCTCGTCGCCAGGATTCTACTGCACCATGGATTCTCCCTTGGTCGTGTTCAAGTGTGTCGAGGATTCGTGGCCTGCTTTGTTTAAGGAGGATTCAAACGGTTTGTCCCCCATGCTGCTGTAGCATTTACATTCTCTGGACCGTTCAATCCGAGTTCCGTGCATGTTCAGATGGTACCCGGTTGGCTATCAATATTTGAGCAGTGACCCAAATCCTTGCTGTTTATCAACAAGTGTACTAGTGAATGTATTACCGGATTTCTTGGGGATTTCCAAAATTGCTACGACCCATGGGAATCTATACTCGGGAATGACAAACGGTTTTGAAAAGTGTGGGGCCAACAAGGCAATCCTCCTTTGTGGTTCGGTTCCAGGTCGTGTTTGTCTCGGTCCCGTGGTTCCCTATGGCTTCCTCCTTGCAGATGTAATTTGTCTTGGACTGGGGTCTTTCTAGGTTTTTCTAATGCTTGTTCAGGACGCAAAATCAATTTTCCGCACAGAAAGAGAATCAGATTTTGGCGCCAGAATGGCCCTTCTGCATATTATAATATACATATGTACATATGTATATAT